TCCAGCGACTGCAGCTCGCCGTCCTGCTCGGTCGCCTCCAGTTGCGGCGCCAGCGACACCTGCGGGACCATGGCGATGTCAGCGTGTACCCTACCTATGCTAACTGTCCTAACCAAGGGATTTGTCGTGACACATTTCTCCCCCACACACAAGAGAACCGGTAACGGTGACGGCACTGAGTCGCCCTCGCTGTCAGCCTGAGCGTAGGCAGACCCGCGCGTCACGCGAGCTCAACGGGCAGGCCTACCACGCGTTGATGACCCGTAACCAAGAGTTTGCTCACCAGGATGGGTACTGTCGCGGTGCTGCTGCCGGCCGCGGTGTCGACGGGGAGGTCGGGCTCGGCGGCGACCAGGTCCTGCTCCTCGGCGGCGGACGGTGACGGTGCAACGCCGGGGGGCACGTCCTCGGCCACGGACGGCGTCTCTGAGCGGCCGGACGACACGTCGGCGTCGTCCTCGCCGCTGTCCTCGCCCAGGCCGCTCTCGCCCGACGTGCTGTTGTTGAAGTCGTCGAGCCGCGTGGCGTCGCGGGCCTTGCGCGCCGCGAACTCGCGCCGCAGCTGGCGCCACTCGCGGTCCGTCTGCGAGTTCTTCTCTCGCGCGCTCTCCCACTTCTCGCGGCAGTACTCGAGCTCCTGCTTGAGCTCGGACAGCAGCTCGCGCTTCTGGTGCAGCTCGTAGCGCAGGATCTTCTCGTGCGTGTGCAGCTGCTGGTGCTGCGCCTGCAGCCGGCCCACCAGCCCCCACGTCTTGTGCAGCTCGGACGACACCTGCGCGAGCCTGTGGCACACGGAGAGAACACAAATCACTTCGAGGTCGTGGTTGCATGGGTGAAACCGGGTAACACTGTGCGTGATGAACTATGACAATCATTGTGTCTATGAAAAGGCCTCTACCAACCATCACCTCAGAAATCTGAGTGTCGTGATAAAATTACCCCACCCTCTAAAATTACGCAATATGTCATCGTGGTCGCGTAGTCGTGCTTATGCTGGGAGCGGCCGCGGTTGCAAATATTTTGGGGTCAGGATTAGGACCGTAATTGTAGTTCGCTGTGACCCCAGGTTATTTTCGCCAGTGTACAAATATCATGGGGTCGTGTCATGTGATCTCCGGGGTCCAAATATCATAGGGCCATGTCATATTGTCTCCAATGGTGGTCCTGATCCTTTATGGACCCCATCCTAATTGTAGTGGCCCCCTTGGGCACGTATTTGCACGACCAGCAGCGGTGAGCCGTCAGGTGCGCATCGGGCGATGCCCCGCGCGCCCTGTCGCCGCCAGGAGTATCGACGGCGCTACCATATCGGGTCGGCGAGACGGTCGTTCGGCTTCCGCGACCGCGCCTCGCGGATGACGCGGAGTGTATCGCCGGAGCGCCAAGGCCGGAGGCGTTGGCGTGTCCATTATACAGAGCGGAGGAGAGCCGATCCCCCGAATCTAGCGATCTGATCTGATCTGTGTCCGGCGGGCCGCAGGAGGGGGGAATACACTGCACGCCCGGGATTTTAACTAGACGGTATTGCGACACCCTGGGAGGTGGTGGGGTGCTTTTTGAAGTGGCTTTTGCAGGTTTAACCTTGGCACAGGGGCGTCCATTAACTAGAGTGAAAGGTCGCGGTTTGTTTTCATTGCGGCTGCGGGCTGCCAAGTGAGGCGGCGCGGGGTAGGGGTGGGGGGAGGTTCCGATAGGCCGGCCAACCCGAAACCCGAAACCCGCGCCGCTGGGAAGAATGGACGACGGTCCTCACCTGTTTTCCTGCTCGTCGAGGCGAGTCTCCAGGTGGCCGTTGAGCTGCTTGAGGCTGCCCAGCTCGCGCTGCAGCGACCGCTTCTCCACGATGAGGTCCTTGAGCCGGATGTACGTCTTGGAGACGGAGATGACGTTGCGCGGTCCGCCGGGCGTGTTGACGCTCGTGTAGCACGACGCCTTGCCCTTCTCCGAGTCGCCGACGGAGCCGCGGCGCGCGCCCCCGCCCGCCTGCTGGGAGACGAGCTCGCGCAGCACGGCCCACACCTTGGGCAGGTTGGAGGCGATCTCGTTGACCAGCTCTGCGTTCTGGGGCGCGGCGCCCTCCTCCGCTTCCTGGTCGGGCTGCTGCTCGGCCTCGGACACGACCTCGGGCGCGAGCTCACCGCCGTCCTCGGGGCTGGCCGCCTCCTCGTCGGCGGACTGCTTCAGTCTGGCCTCGTTCTCCACCTGAAATGCACAGGCCCCTGTGTTAAAAGCCGCTACCGCCAACCACTTACACAAGTACCTTTCTGTTCTGCAGGTTTCGCCGACGCCACCCACCTGCGTGATGAGATCCAGGATCAGCTTGGGCAGGACGGGCGCGATGTCTGTACCGCAACCCTTGACGGTGATGTCGGCGATGAGGTCGTGGTTCTCGTGCAGCAAGTGCGACAGGCGGTCCAGGTCGATGGGCTGGTCCGGGTGGCTGCAGCCCACCAGCATCTGCGTGAAGAGGCCGTTGATGCGCTCCATCTGGGCCGTGAGGCTCTGGCACTCGGCAACCGAGTCGCCCAGCTGGAACTCGAGCTCCTCCAGGGCGTCGCTGCGCTCGGACAGGGACGCCTCCAGCCGGCTCGCTTTGTCCTCCAGTTCCTTGATGGCGTCCTGTAGCTCAGCCACCTATGTGTATCGGGTGCGGATTAGAATGGAGATTACTTTTACTCTAGGTAAGAATAATTTTAACTCTTTTAAACATAAAAACTATAAAGCATATTATTAAGATCCCGTGATAGATAAAGGAAACGGTTACCCGCGCACACTTATTTATAGAAGCGCACCCCCTCGCAAAAAATAAATAAAAATAAATAATTGAAAACCTTGCTTAAAAACATGGGTTAGCATTCTGAGTTTTAACTGGTAACCCGCGTCCCGGGCAGGTGATACATACCTCGCTATTGCGCTGCTCCAGGTCGCCGGCCTGCTTGTCCTTCTCCTGCTGCAGCACGCGCGCGCGCTCCTCGTACAGCTGCTTGAGGCCGCGGATGTTGGCGATCTGCTTCTCGTACTCGGCGCGCAGGTTGCTGAGGGTCGTGGCCTGGTGGTCGGGGCCGCCCACCTTCTCCTCGATGGCGGTGAGCTGCTGCTTCATGTCGCGCACCTGCTCCTCGCGGATGGCGAGCATCCTCTTGCTGATGGCGGCCACCTCCTTGAGCGCGGCCGCCTGCCGCTGCACCTCGGTGAGCTCGGCGGCCACGCGCTCGGCCTCCTCCCTCGAGGCCGTCAGCTCCTCGACGGCACCCGCGGCCTCGGCCTGCAGGCGGCTGACCTCGAGGCGCGCGCTGCCCGCCGCGTCTCGCTCGCGCCTCGCGTCCCCGTCGGCCGCGTCCAGCGCCGCCTGCAGCTCGTCGCAGCGCACCTGCAGCTGCAACGCCTGCAGGTGCACCTGCGCGCGGGCGTCGCGCTCGCGGGCCAGGTCCTCGCGCAGCTGCTCGGCCTCGACGGCCATGGCGTCCTGGTGGTGGCGCTCGGCGTCCTGCTCGTCGCGCGCCTCGAGCCGCTCGCGCAGGGCGCGCTCGGCGGCGAGCTCGGCGCGCAGGCGCTCCATCTCGGCCGACACGGCCTCCAGCTTGAGCCGGCGCGCCTCGCGGTGCGCTCCGAGCTGCGTGCGCAGCATGGCTAGCTCGCGCCGGCGCTGGTCGGACAACTGCGCCGTGGTCGCGCCCGCGTCCTCCGGGGGCTCCTCGCGCGGGCTCTCCTCCCGCCGCTCCCGCTGCCTGCTGGAGAGCGCCTCCGCCACCGCCTCCCTCCAGTGGCTCTGCCGCTCGCGCCGCTCCCGCTGCAGCTCTGCGGTGAGGTCCTCCACGCGCCGCGCGAGCGCCAGGACGACGTCATCGCGCGCGTTGTGGGTCGGCGCCGTGGTCTCGGACACCGCCGCGGTCGCGTCGTCGTCGACCTTCGCCGGTGCCTGCTCCTGATGAACATTTGTAATGAACGCGGAGTTAGTTTGACCGAACCAAATCTCATCGGATCTTTGAACCAGGGCTATTTTTATTTTTATCCGAGATTGTGCTTATACCGGCTGAACACGCTTATTGACTTTGTGCTCCAGAAATGGACCGACATTTGCTCTCCGTGGCGGTCGGCCGCTGCTCTTCCGCGGTAAGGGACCGGCGGGCGGCCCCCCCCGCCCCGCCCCGCCTCTCCCGCCCCGCCTCTCCCGCCCCGCCCCTCCCGCTCCGCCCCGCCGTACGGTGACCTTAGCCATACCTTATGTGTCGGGGCATACGACATGTTGGCCAACTCTTGACGCAGCTCTACCTCATGTACCTCTTCCATTTATCGCCCCTTGTCCTCTTCGCGGAGCCGGAAGCGTTCAAGTTTCCAACTCAACGCTTCTCGCGCCGTGCGTCAGAAATGTCGATCATTCATCCTATGAGTTTAGCTTGTCTTTCCTCACCTGTCCTGGTGCTGGCGTGCCCCACCAGGCGTCGTCGACGGCGTCCTCAGCCAGGGACGTCGCCGCCGGGTCCCGGTGGTGGTCGGCGTCGCTGCCGACGCTCTGAGCCGCGCCCATGGTCCTCTAGTGCCTTTTCCCGGCTCTCGAGCGCGAGCATGTGCTCATCTGTCGCAAACAAACAACATTGAAAATGCAGTGAGTACCTTTTGATAATCGCCCTGCCCCTTTTTCATTTGGCAGTGGAGAGCAGTTGCGTCACGATTGCAGTGACGGCAGAAGCCCAAACCGATGGGGAATCTAAATGGAAATAGAGCGCGCCTTCTATTTCTGTCCTAGACGACGCTAGGCGTCTTTATCTAACGTCTCTGGGAGAGGTCGTTCTCTTCTCCCGACTGGCCCCGCTCCCCACCCCCTTCCCTCCTCTCCCCACGCTGGCCAAACTGCATGTGCGTGGAACCAAGTTTGCGCTCGGGTATGAAACTCTTGAACGCGAAGTTCAAGTTGAGGGGCCACCATAAACACTGGTGTTCTGGTGGCGCACCTCCCGCCCGCCGCCTGTCGCGGAGTGGTGGTGTACCTACCCGCGACGGCACATACAAGCCGGAAATGCCCGCACCGCTGCCAAGTGCGAACGCCTGCGCGTGCGCGGGGAAGAGTGCAGTGCAGGGAACTTCACAACACGCTAAGCCTAGCGGCGCGAGCTGAAGAGGTGGGGGGGAGGGGGGGCTATTTTCGCGTTTATTCGCGGCAATTATTTCTGATTCGCCAGATATAAACTGCAGCCCTCGGCCCTGTGGATGGGTGTGTTTTGTACATGTTGGCACGCATGGGTGAAGTGGCGTGAGGAGAAGCGACGGGTTTTCAACACTGTGTGTCATACTGGCACTTTCAAATAATCATCGGCTTGAATCATATATAAAATCTCGGTCACGTCAAAGAGTTGGTCCGCCAATGGTCTGAAAGTAGGAGAGCTGTTCTTTTGGCCATTGGTGTTTCATTTTCATTGAGGTACCTTTTCTGATGAGGCCGTTTCTCACAAAGAAATGCTCGGTTTGCGTCTGCAAATTTGCTCCATAGACGTGGAATGGTTGCCGACGCACTCGCTAGCGCTGAGGTTGCCAAGAAAGTGAGTTTGGGTTGGCCAAAGTACTCCTCTCCTGCCAGGGCAGACTTGGGTGTCGCCAGACCACTGGCAACCCTGATTACCATCTTCATAAGCTATGTGTTGCCAAGGGAACTGCCTTTATATTTTTTTAAAAAGATAATAATATATAATTTTATACAGTCAGATAGTTTTACGGTTGCCCTTTTCAACGTGTTTTAGACGCCCACTCAAATTGACGCAAGAAGCGGCTCGTTCGGACTGCATCAAAGTTCAAGGCTCCGCTCTCTCGTGCGTCGCGCGGGTGCAGCAGCCCTGCTCCTCGCGTCTCATTAATTATATCTGGCAGGGTAAAGAGACTTGGTTGGGTGCGTTCGTTCATCTCGGCTGCTCTCTCCGTCTCTCTCTCTCACTCACACACACCCAGAGGGACGGTGTGAGAGGTGAGGCCGTCGCTCACGCAGGCCTCTCTCTCACTCGCTCTCGGACACACACCGCGCTACAAATAGCACCCCGCGTCACAGCGATCCGAAAGGGGGAGGGGGTATGGGGGAGGAGGGTGCTGGGCGGGAACGAGACGCACCAGGCCGGGGCGGCGGCAGCTGGTGTGGTTCGCAGAGACAAAGACCCCCATCGCCGCCGTCCTCGTGCGTCCAGCGGCCGCCGCCTGCGGACGGCCGGGTAGGCAACCCAACCCACACCCGTGCGCCGCGCTGGACTATGCACCACCGCTTCACTGCTGCTATTTCTATCGGTCATTGCGTCCACTGAAATATGTTTCCCGGTGGTTGTGTGGCACGTTCCCCCCCCCTCTCTCTCTCTCTCTCTCTCCCTCCCTCCCTCTCTCTCTCAAATAGACCGCGCACGCGGGGCAGTGCGCCTGTCTCCGCGCCGACGCACCCCCGCGCCCCATTGTGTTTGGGAGTGACGTTTGAATGGACGTGGTGGACGCCGAAGTGCGCCGGCCGAGGCATCTTCCTGCACTTTGCAATCGCTCCAATAACTGCGCGTGATCCTGATCCCGATTGTCTCTAGGCGGGCGCCCTCATACCGCTTCCTGCTTGTTAATTTCGCACGACGACCCGATTGTCTGGCGCGCTGGTCGGGGAGCCCTTTGGCGACAACTCGGCCGCGCGAGGCGCTTTCTACCCACTTCCGCCGCTGGGCTCGGCTCAGGGTTTACCTGGTTAGCGGGACCACAGGCCGGTCGCAATAGCACCGGCTCGTGGCGGTCGCTGAAGGCCTTCGAAACCGCGCCGAGCTGTTTTGTATACTCACATGCGGGAGCTCGCCGTAAGATCCTGGTCGGCGTCCTGCTGGTGGTGGGTCCTGGCTGCTTGTCCCGGCCCCGGCGTCGCGGCTGCACGTGCGCGATGACACTCGGCGGCGTCCACCGCGACCGCGTCGATCCTCGTCCGCGAGCGGTTTTCGGCTTTCAGCGTGACGTCGGCGCCCCACGACGTCTGCTCGGCTTCTGGGGGGATGGCGTCGGCGTCGGCCCCCTGCTGTTCTGCTGGGGGTTAGGGGGGAGGGAAGGG